TTCTCCCCACTGGGGATTTGGCCCACAACCTGGGCATGTGTCCTGACCAGGATTCAAACCAGCGACCTCTTGGTGAATGGGTCGATGCCCAACCACTGAGCGAGCTACACCGGCTGGGCTAATATTTTCTGTTCTATATGGCAAGACAGAAATTATTCCTAGTCTATGTCATTAGAATATATAGTGATTCTTATGAATTGTAATTTAATTATGAGTTAGATTCATAATTTATGAATCAATCATTGCACTATGTCAGATTTTTCTATCTTAATTTCTCTAAGATAATGGCAACATAAAAGAGCATAGTTGTTCCCTGGACAGGTTGGCTCAGTAGTTAGAGCATCTGCCTGTGGACCAAAGGCTCACGGGTTTGATTCCAGGTCAAGGGCACTTACCTGGGTTGCAAATCCAATTCTCGGCCCAGTCAGGGTTGTGTGGGAGGCAACCAACTGACATCGATGTTTCTCTCTCTCTCTCTTTCTCTTCCTTCAGGTAAGTATTAACCAAAACAAACAAACAAACAAAAAATGGTTGTTTAACTTTATGAAGTTAGACATTACTTTGCAACAAAGAAATTGATTTTTCTAAACCAATTAAACAGCTGTCATTCATGATTTTATATAAACATTTTTGGAGTAATTTTTGTTTTCAACACCTATTGATTTTGATGTTAGTGTTACACATTTCATAAACTTATTTGTATTAATATTACTTTATTTTCCTTCTCCCCCAAATCTCATCCATTTTCTTTCTTTTCTTTTTTGGTTAATCCTCACCCAAGCATATTTTTCCATTGATTTTTTTTTTTTTTTTTTAAGATAAAGTGGAAGCGAGGGAGGGTGAGACAGAGAGAGAGAATGTGACAGACACATTGATTGGTTGCCTCCCGCATGACCCTGCTGGGGTTGGGGATCGAACCTGCAGCCTAGATATGTGCCCTTGACCAAGAATCAAACCCATGACCCTTCGGTCCTTGGGCCGACTCTCTAACTGCTGAGCCAAACCAGTCAGGGTTCATCCATTTTCAAGAATGGATGGATACATATATGGATGTACTTTTATACAAATGGAAGCAATATTTTTCTGTGCGTTTCTAATTCACCCTTCATTGTAACTCCTGAGTTTGACCATTTGGAACAGAACATGTTAGGAAACAGTATATAATGACACAGTTGGTACCTCAATGGCCACCATTCCCTTAAATGCAATACAGCTTGTTTTCCATGGTAATACTTCCATGTACTTGCTCGAAGTTCATCTATTACCTTTTATTAGGGGATTAGGGGAGGAGGTAAATCTCACACAAATTTATGAGATCATTCTGAATTCAATCTCTATAGATTGTTTTGTAAATCTAATAAAATACTCCATGAAGTTACACAGTTTAAGTGTATGGGTAAATAAACACACAAAACAAAGGAAAGAGAAAAACACGAGAGACAGAGGGGGAAAAAACTGCAGAATCCCTGGGTTAGGAAAATACTAGAACCTTCCTGAAAGTGATTGGACAAATTAAAAGAAAAAAAGTCATTATCAGCTATTTTAAAACATTTTGAGGCTTTGAAGTGAATTGAAGCTTGATTTGTCAACAGGAAGATATGAGCTTTACACCTCTATTTATATAAACATTTGCTTTTTCCAACTTAGTTTCTACCCAGAAGTTGTTTGACTGATGTTTCTGGCTTTGCTTGACCGGGTTTTAGAAAAGAAAAAGAAAAAAAAAAAAACCAAAACTGAGGCCACCTGTTTCTCTATCAAAGAGAAACTCATCAAGTCACTTTCGCTGATGTTTGGTTGGTGAAAATGCTAAAAGATACAAGGATTTCAATTTTTGTTGGAGTGTTATATTTTTAACCAAATCTTTGCCCCTCTGAGTTGCCAGAACTAACTGTAAGGACAGTCCTGCCTGTCTTGGGCTGTGCTCCTGATGTTCACCCCTTCTTCTCCGTAAGGATCCAGGTCACTCAGGGTCTCTTCGTCACTCTTTCCAAATTCCCTTCTCCCATACAGATCTGGGAATTCCCACTTCTAGCCTGCTACTTCCCCTGCCCTGATGGCAACCTGTCACACTTCCCCATCTCCTTGTCCCTCATGTTTAGTGCTGTTCTATCTTCTTTTCTGTTTCTTCTCAGATTTCTTTCTTCACTGTGTTACAGCTGCATCAGTTCAGAAGGACGGGAGAAATTTAGACAGTGCAAGTTGCTTGCACCTCCCGGCCGGTGTAAAGTGTTTGGTTAAACATTCAACTTTTGCCATAGCTCCCTGAAGCAGAGGAGGGCGGAGCGTGTGGCTAGCAACATATACTGCTTGATGTCATCATTAGTAAGGTCCAGAAGTGGGGAGACCAGCTGGGGTTTGCACCATCTGCCTGTAAGTCAAAAGAATACTCAGAGAAAGTGTGCATGGAACTATATTTAGAGAGTACAGAGCACGCTTGAATTTCCAGAACTTGTTCATTCAAGGAGAAAGGAGAACTTGCTTCAATCATAAGTGTGAAATATAAAAAAAGTTAGGCTCAGAGCAGGAGCAACTCAATTCTAGAAGAGAAAATAAGGGTGAACCTTACGGGTAGGCAGATAAGCCTGGTATTTCATCAAGGTATCATGAAGGCATTCAGTCTCAAAAGTGGCCTAACTTTTAACCAAATCTTTTAATTCTAAATTATAGATCCATTGTTTTGGTTCAAGTGGTTCTTTTTTTTTTTTTATCAAAATATAAGTTCCTTGTGTAAGAAGATTGTCATTTGCATTCACCAGGAAAAGGATAATATTAATACCTTAAAGAATAAAAGTGGTGTAGCCCTGGCCGGTTTGGCTCAGCGGTTAGAGCATCGGCCTGCAGTCCGGAGAGACCTGGGTTCGGTTCCCGCTGAGGGCATGTACCTCGGTTGCAGTTTGTCCCCGGCCCTGGTTGGTCGTGCGGGTGGCAGCCACTCGATGTGTCCCTTTCACGTCGATGTTTCTCTCTCTCTCTCTCCCTCCCACTCTATCTGTACAAAAAATGGAAAAATGTCCTCGGGTGAGGATAAAAAAAAAAAGAATAAAAGTGTTCAAGTCTTTTCATGGGAGGAACAAGTTAGAAAAATCTAGAACATCAGGGACCTGCACTGGGTCAAGGGAAATAAAAAAGAAACAACAAAAAAGGAGGTGACTGGAATTCTGCCCACGGGGAAGAGAGTACAGAGGGGAAGAACCGGGACTAAAAACAATTCCTCGGAAGCTTTGGGACCATTCTCAGGGAAAAGATGTAAGGGGAAATAAGGCTGTATAAGGATGAGGGAAGAAACGCTGGGGAAGCGAGTTAGACATGTTGGTTTACATATCAAGAAGAGTGAAACAGGTAGAGAACATAAGAACAATGAAAAAATGACAAAATACAGGAATGTGATCATGCAAAAGAGAAGTGAAAATAAAGCATGAAACTTCACCTTGCAAGACAGTTGGTCCTGAAGGGGACAGAAAAGAAAAATAATTTTCTGGTGAACTGAGGAAGGGCCACACCTGGAGGAGAGTAAATATATTTGGAGTGTTGGAGAACCAGTGGAAAAGTTATGGAGTGAAGAGAGATACAATGGAAAAGAGTAGAGTAGAGAAATTTGAACAAGATTGTTATTTAGTTTTCAATGTGGAATAAAAGCATGAACTCAGGTTTTCTTTTTGAACATAAAATATTAAAAGAAATAACGAGACACAACATTTCTCTCTTCTGAGAAGAAAATTGGAAAAAAAATTCTTTTAAAATGTTTAATTTGCAATATACACAATACTGGGATTGAGGTGCTTTCTGGTGGGAATGCTACCTCTCGTTCAATATGCAGTAGGAGGGTCAAGTTCATGAAGACATTTTGATATGATTCTTGGGAACTCTGCCTATGAGATTTCTCTGTGGTGGCTACAACATGCATTTAATGTGTCTGTCTATATAGGAGTACATTTACTTCTAGAGGCTGTGGAGCAGAGATTACATGTTTTGTTTTTCTTTAATCAGTTGTGCAAATCTCATTAAATTAAATTGTTTCTTAACAGCAAGAATCCAATTCCCAGTTAGGTAATTTTCTCAGCAATATGAAAGAAATTCACTACCTACCAAGTGGTATTCTGTCAAATGTCACTGGTTGTCTCAAAGTCCCCTAGTTCCTACTTAAGAAGGTTACTGAGTTATTTAGATGGAATGTCCATAATATATAATTTGTCACTTATAGTGGGATTTTGTTCTATTATATTGTGCACTGTTATCCACTAACCTTAGGCCATTTCCCCCCTTCTAAAGCAGACATGTTTGTTGTGTGTTAGACTGCATCTCCAGGCTGCCAGACTTCATGGGAAACTTGAAAATCAGAGAATTAAAAGAAACCTAGAACTAATGTAAATTCAACCTTCTAATGTTAAAGATGGGGAAATTAAACCAGGGCCTAAGGAGGAAACATGGCTTATCTGAGGTTACCTGGTTACTGCTAGACCAGGATAAGAATATGGGTTGTCTAAATGCTATACTTCTTCTGTTCTTTTCTATAAACTGTTAGGTACACTTTATGCCTGTTAAAATTCAGGTATGAATGCCCTTCTTAGGCCCCAAATCAGGCTCTTCCAAAACCTATTTGTATAGTAAGCCTTACAGATTTTGGTAAGTGGTGAGAATGGAAGAAGTAGCAACAACTCACAGAAACTCAGACCAGTGATATGGTTTGACATCAGCTGTCTAATGAACCTGCGGAGGTGGACTAACCCCAATACTATCATAAATGAGTAAGAAAATGAGACTTACTTTCAAGTCCTACTTGCCGACTGGACAGCCACATCAAAAGTTGAATAGGGAATCATGGGTCCAAGTTCTACCTGGCATACTCCCCCCCCCCCTTTATTGATGTTAGAGAGAAGGAGAGAGAGATAGAAACATCAATGAGAGAGAACGTCGACCGGCCACCTCCTGCATGCCCCACCCCTGCCCTGGGGTTCGGGCCCACAACCTGGGCACGTGCCCTGCCCGGGAATCGTACTGGCTGCCTCTTGGTGCATGGGTTGACCCTCAACCACTGAGCCACACTGGCTGCAATACTTCTCTCCCTTTAACCTCAGCCTCTGAGCTTAGCAGAAGACAACATTATGGGTCTTTATATATTGTTAGTAGGATTGTATAACTCTTGGCTCTGGAGAATTTTCTAGGGCTACAAAAATTATCATGATCTTTTTCATAAAGAAAACCTGCTAGGCAAATGTTAGGACAATCAGCAAAAGTTAAAATAAGAGTAAAAGGACTATAATTTCATAGACAAAGGGGGAGTCAATCTAGGAAACTCTTGAAAAGAAAGTAAATGAAGTTCTATAGCTAGCCAAAATAGAGATTAATAGTTTCTTCCACCCTAAGATCTAGCTCAGACAGATTCAATAGTAAATATTATTAACCTTAAGATTATTTTCCCTTGAAATTGTATGTAAGAATATTTGTATATAAGCCACCAGGTCATCATTTGTCTACTATGTCAATGATATTGGGAAGCAGTAAAACCATGCAATAATATAGACTTTGTATTGTAAGTACCGAAAATGAGATAAATGTTTCTGTCTGGATGAAAAAATCAGGCAGTAGGGGCAAAAGCTGACCATTGTAAAGGGTTTGGTCTAAGAAGTACTACTGTGAATGGGTTAGCTGACAATGGCTAGACAAGGAGTTCCCTCTTCCTAGAGCATTCTCTTCATCCCACCCACACATTTTTTTTCTTTTTTCCTTTTCCATGATGATCACAGACCACTGAGTCTCTGCAAATTTACATTTTCACAGGGAGGAAGTCTGAAGTAGTTTGAGCGTCGAAGTCGCCTTGGGGGCAGACCAGCCATCTGCCGGCAAAGCTCATCTAGAAGAGAAGCAGAGCATGATGGGATGAGAATATGAGAAGATTACAAGGGCCTGTTTTTTAATTTTTTTTTATTAATATTAGAGAGAAAGGGAGAGGGAGAGGGAGAGAGATAGAGATAGAGATATCGATCAGCTGCCTCCTGCATGCCCCACACTGGGGATCAGGCCCACAACCTATGCCCTGACAGGGAATTGAACCAGTGACCTCTTGGTGCATGGGTTGACACTCAACCACTGAGCCACACTGGCCAGGCAAAGGCCCATGTTTTAAAGGAAAGAGAAGACTACAGTTGGTGGAGTGAAAAGGTTGAGGAGAAATAGGTCTGCCACTTACTGTTTACCACTAGAAACTTACTAGAAAGTTTCTTAACTTCACTATCCTTTTCTATAAAATAAGCATTAAAATACCTGCCTCAACAGTTTAGTTGTAAGTATTAAAATGAAATGATATATGCAAAGTACCTGGCATAGACAGTCACTAAATGTTAGTTTCCTTTATACACTTAGCTCCCACTTTTTCTAATCATGGACTTATTGAAGAGCAAAAAATGAGGTTCAATCACCCAACATATACTTAAGTGTTTACTATGTGCAAATAGCTAACTTGACTAAGTCCCCGGAGACACTTGAAAGTGCCTACAGTCCCAAATACTCAACCTCAATCTCAAGGTGCTTCCCTTGCAGGTGGCTTGCACAGAGACAATGAGGACAACCAGCTAGTTTCCTTCTGCGAAGTTAAGTACAGATCTTACTCAGGTACTCAGCTCTAGGCGGGCTGCTGAGTCAGAAGTGGCTTGTCTGTGGTGCCTTCACCAACCACAGCTACCTTTGGGGGCTGGCAATGGGGAAGGTGAGAAATATCTTTGTTCCCATCACACATGTTCATCCACTTTCAACTCTTTTAATTGTTTTTATAAAGTCTTTCTACCTTCCTCTACCTCGGAAATTTCACAAGGAGCAATGCGAAGGGTGCTTGGAAGAGGTGGACTGTTTACAATGCAGCCAGTTTCTAAATGTCCAGTCTATTTCTAATTTCATTATAGGCCCTGTCCAAACATTACTGTCTCCAAAGTAATCGTTTTTGGTTTTTGTTTTGTTGTAGAGTTACAAACATGGCTGTAGACTAGTAGGGTCTATTGTTCGCAATGGCTGACTTGGCCTTTTTACCTAGAACCCCAGTGAATGATCTTCAAAGCAGCCAGAGCTCCAGAAAACTCCGTCTATATCCAGGAGATATCGGGAGTTACAATCTAGTTGGAAAGAGATCTTTTGTAGGGTTATGTTTATGTATTAAGCATGCTGTTCTACTTAGATTACTTATTTGGGGTAACTTGGTGGAGCAGGGACTGATGGAAGTTAAGCGGGTAGCCTAAAGCCCTCCTCCAAAGCCAGACCTTAGATCCATTAGCATTGTATCCTTATTTACCTCTCATAACTGTCCCTTTCCCCACTAAAAACACAGACATCATCTTACCTTTCATAGCTTCATGTTCTTTACAGACGAGACGGGAGCAAATCTCATTGTTGATGATGTACATTCGTCGTAAACTGCCATAGTCCCAATGTCATGGTTAAGGAAGGAGATAGAAAAAGCATTGAGAGGAAGAAGTAGCCCAGGCCTAAGATGCCTCTTCAACTCCTGTATTTCCCATTCTTCCTTATCTGAATTTCCTTAAGTATTTTAGAAAATGGTATTAATTACTCTTCCCAGTGATACTTTGCATACTTCACTTAGAATCAGGCTTAATATTAACACTTCTCCACTATTTTCTTTTTTAATCAAATTTTTTTTGGGGGGGGAGGGGAGTATGTGCCCCTAGTGGGAACCGAACCCGGGACTCTGGTCCACAGGCCGACGCTCCAACCGCTGAGCCAAACTGGCCAGCCCCACTATTTTCTACCTTCAGTCTTAAATCTTTCATTTCAGCCTTTTTCTATGAGACAATAACTTCAACCTGTGTTTCCCTCATGACTGTCCTTCTTCCGGCCCTCACCTTTATGTGCCCTCTAGCATCTGGATTTGTTATTTAGCCTTTTCTCTGTGTACCTCAATCCAGAGTCCAGGTTCTACCTGGTGCCTTCAGGAATAGCTAGGATGATTACGCTAAAATCTTCTGCCCCTCCGAAGACTGAAATTCTGTAGCGGGTGTTCATTAAATAGTTGCTCATATGAAAATACTATCATGGAAGATGATCTCTGGGCATTCTGGGATCCCTTACCTGGTAAAGCATAACTGATGGACGCATTGCTTGACTGGCCGATGCACAGAGTAGAGTCTTGTGCAAGCAAATTTCTCATCCCGGCACTCTGAAGAAGCCCAACACAACAAAACAGGGAGAGGCATAACAGACACAAGAGATATAGACAAAGGATTAAAGGGATGGAGGAGAGATAAAGTGGAAAAAACATACAAAGTACTGTAGTCTGTACAGAAGATCATTGTAATTTGGGGCACCTCCTTTCTGCTCACCAAAGCAGAGTCATAGGAAATAGACTAAAATGAAATTTAGGTGCTTCCCCACCTGGAAGTAGAAGTGACTAAAGTAACCTCTGAGGGCTCTTCTAGGAAAAAGTCCTCCTAGGGTTATCCAGGTGAAATATCAAACCAAAATGCTGATAACCCCATTATGAAGAATGGAAGTTCTAAGATGGGTAACTATTTTTCTGCTCCAATCGTTTTTAACCCTAACTGCATAACAGAATTATCAGTACATTAGAGGAAGCACTTTTAGTCATGATGTCTATAGTAATAGTGAGTCCTTGCCATCAGTTCCCAACCCCCTGAACAAATAAACTCCAAAGGATTCTTTGGGGATTGTGCACTAGTGGTTCAATCTTTCGACCATGACTTTTAGAACAGAAGCTCATATATAAAGGCAGAGGTAGGGCTGGAGGAGGAAGAATAAAGGATACTAAAGATATTCTTTGAGAAAGAATTGGAATTAAATGAGAAGATGTACCCTCCAAAGACCAAGGAGGTAAGGAATCCTCCGGAAGAAAAAAGCTTAGGAAAAGCAATCATACCCGTGGCGGCATTTTTATCATTGGGCGATGCTGGAAGGCAGAAATGTTATTCAGTTATTATTAGTTCTAGAAGTCACTACCTCTGTAACTGTCAGGTTACCTCACTTGAGCCCCATGTGGGGCACCCATGTAGATAGGAAACAAATGAGTTAATGATTCTTTAGCAACTCTTTTAAAAAAAAACATAATGGTTTGTTTTGATTCACACAACTGAAGAGATTTAGAAGTTAGAACAGAAGATAAAATTTTGTCTTTCTCTTCTAGGGAGTTACAATACTTATAACGAGAGTATCTTTGTGTTGTTGACAATAAACAAATTTAGTAGGGACACAGGCTAAGAGCCACATGCTTAGAAAAGCTCCACCCTAGAGCTAAAAAGAGAAAAGATTTTTGTGCTGTAGAGGCTCTTCTTCAGAAAAAAAATTTTCTTCCCCATAAATCATGTGTTCTTTCATAAAATATATTCAATCAAGGATAGCAAGGGTCATAGCATAGCCAAATCTAACGTGGGGGCTGGTTAAATGTGGGCCGAGTTTGTAGAATGGAGAACAAATTAAGGAGCAAGATGAATCCTGAAGGAATAGATTAACTATGGGCGTTCACAGTAAAAACTGAGATTGAAGAGTTGGTAATAAGATACTGTAGAGAGTGTGTTAGGTGTCCTCATCTATTCCATGGTTCCAGGTGCATGTTTATATGCTAAGAATTCTCACATGTATACTTCTAGCACCGATCTCTTCTAAGCTCCAGACCTATAAATCTGGCTGCCATATTATGAAAGAGTTCATGGATTTTTCCAATCCAATGGATCTCAAACTGACTTAATTATTTTCCCCTTCATCAATTCAAATTGTTCTTTAGTGAATGGTAGGACCATCCACCCTATGGTCACCATCTACCTGATAAAAAGCTGAACATCATCACAACAGTCTCCTCCTTATAGCTCACATTCAATTCTCACTGCCTTTACCTTAGTTCAGGCCACTATTTTTCATTGGGACTACTGCAAGGTCATCCTCATTGGTTTTTCAATTCACAGATCTAATTTGAACCTTCCTTTGCATAAACTATACTCTGGTTGATTTTTATTTCCATTCTAAGCCTTTGTCCACATTCTTTTCTTTACCTTAAAGCTCTCCCCCTTCGATTCACTTGATTCACTTCTGCTTGTCTCTCAAGAAGCATCGTAGACAATGTGCTTTCCAGAAAAGCCTTTCCTAAGCCCCAATACTGAATATCGTCAAGTACTCTCTTTGATCTGTCCACTTGTCTCTCTTGTCTATTATACAAAAAGTATCTAGTAGAAGATTAGTTTCGTTCACCTTTATATCCCTGGTACCTAAGTAGCAGGTTTTGAGGAAATATTTGTTAAAAATAGTCTAGTTTCTATCTCCTTTTCTTACATCCTACCATTTATGCCTTCTGGTTTTGACCCTAATCATGAAAAAAAACCTCATCTCTCCCTGTATGCCAAGCTCTTCCCTTTGGCTGGAATGCGTATCCTCTCCAGAACTGCCTGGCTTGCTTCAGTTCTTCTTTCAAGATTCAGTTTGACCATTACTTCTAGAAAGTTTTTCTTTATCTCCCCATACATTTCTTTGTTTATATATTTTGTTCTACATGTCTAGTCTTAGAAACTTTGAAAGATCAGCTGTTGGTGTTTTGTGCATCAAATACTTAGCACAGTTCTGCTTGTTAGGGGATCAAAAGTGTCATTAAATTGAACTGTTGTAAGAAAGTGCTACATAAACTGTAACCTCATATATTTAAGACCCTTCACCAGCTGTAATGCCTTCCATAATGGGCTCTGGGGAAAGACCCGAATGGCCCCAGTGGCCCTGGGATCCCAGATCTGAACTCACCCTGGTCATCTGTGGAAGGCACGATATCAGCCAGAACTGAAAAGGCACAAAACAGCAGGTGTGAGGAGGGCTTTGCATTGTCCAAGGAGAAGGCAGAGTTAGAAAAAGGAGAATGGAGATATTAGGGCAAGGTAAAGGCTATGGTTGGGTTTGTGTATTATGTCCAATGAAATAGAGTTAATTGAAGTCATTATCATTCGTGCCTTAGTTTAGCTATTAATCCACTTTGTTTCCTCTTTTTAGAGAACTAGGGCCTCTCTTTTTATTCCACTGTCACTGAACAACATGCCCACAAGCCCTCTATGCCTTTTCCAGAGATAAAAATATAGGATCAATTCAAGAGCTGGAATAAATATTGTGAATATTAATGAGAATCATGCCACTTTTTAAGAACTATAGTAAAACTTACCTGTTTCATCTGTAGAGGGTTCATTTACCAGATCTGCAAAGATAACAATACAGAGAATGAAAAGTGCAAGTAGGAAAAGTAGAAAGGTAAACAGGATAAGGGATGATGATCTAAAAAGAGGCAAGAGCCCAGCTGGTGTGGCTCAGTGGGTTGAGCGTCAACCCATGGACGAAGAGTTCCCAGTTTGATTCCCACTCAGGGCACATGCTGGGGTTGTGGGCTCAATTCTCAGTAGGGGGCATGCAGGAGGCAGCTGATCAATATATCTCACATCGATGTCTCTCTCTCTCTCTCTCTCTTCTCTAAAAAAATCAATGAAAATATTTTAAAAAAATAAACATGGAAGGATATTTTTTCTTTTTTTCTTTTTTCTTTTTTTTTATCCTCACCCGAGGACATTTTTCCATTTTTTTGTTCAGGTAGAGTGTGGGGGGGGGGGGACAGAGAGAGAGAGAGAAACATCGATGTGAAAGGGACACATCGAGTGGCTGCCACCCGTACAACCAACCAGGGCCGGGGACAAACTGCTGCTGAGATACGTGCCCTTAGCCGGAACTGAACCCAGGTCTCTCAGGACCGCAGGCCGATGCTCTAACCGCTGAGCCAAACCGGCCAGGGCAGGATATTTTTTCTTTAAAAAAAATAAATAAATAAAAGGAGGCAAGAAAGACTGAGGTGAAAGAATGTAGACTCTGGGGCAAATGTAAAGGACTCTCACAGAAGGAAATGGAGGAGAGAAAAAGTTTGGGCATGTTCACAGATCGGTGGCATCTAAGATATACAACAGAGGTCTGCATGAGCTCAGAGCGCCCACCAAGCTCTTTTCTAGTCTTCATTATTTTTTTGTACAGGTATCATCATCAATCCTTTTGTCCCCAGTATGAAAGCAAAGAAATAAACAGAAAGGGCAGCTTACTAGGATCTTCTGTGAATGTTTCTGGAGTCACATCAGCTAAATAAGAAATAAAAAAACATTTTCTGAGCATTCTCTTTACCCCTCCCACCGCTGTACTCCCAGAAAGTGGAATTGTCTAGCACGGTGGCCAACACAGTAGGTATTCCACAACTGTTTTTGTTTGCGTCCCAACCTAAGTCCTTTCCCCTGTAACCCAAACAAATGTTACACTTTCCTACTTCCATGAATATACCCATGTATTCCTTAGCCTAGAATATCCTCTTTCCTGTACCTGTATTATCTAGGAGAATGAATAAAACTACCCATCAGATAATCTTCCACTTTCTCAGTTAGACTTTGATTAAGCATTAGACTGCAGGAATAACTTACATTATTTTATTGTCCTAACAGATGATACTAATTTGATTTAACTACGTGCCAGGAACTGTTTAAGTCCCCATTTTTATAGACGATAAAACTGAGCATCAGAAGAATAAATAATTTACCCAAGGTTATAGAACTTGTTAATAAATATGATGAATTGATGACCTTTTTTCAGTACTTACTCAAAATAAAAATGATCTTTACCAAAAACACTGATTTGGGTATTTATAATTTTGATGTTCTTGGATATCGGTCTGCTAATATGCTGATATACAAGAGGGTGCACAAAAGGTGATGTAGGTAATTTTGTGATGCTCAGGGAGAAGCCAGGTGAAGGGAGGAGGAGAGGAGAAATGCCTGTTAGTAGACAACGCCTTGCAGTTGATCATTGGAAAGTAAAGGCAGGAGGAGAAGGAATAAAAATAGTCCAGGTCTTAAGGTGAAATCTATTGGGATAAATTAAGAAAACTATATCTAAAACCATAAATAATAGCACTTTCTAGAATTACTTTGTTTTGACTTTAAAAAGCAAAGCAGTGTTAATATCTGGATAGCAAATATTCCATCTAGAAAGCTCCTTCCTTGTAGAAAACTTACAGTCATAATCTATTTTACCACTAGGGGTCAGCAAAATCACATACGTAGTTTGGTTCTACTTTTTTTTTTTAACTTAAAGTCTAATGTCAAATTTGAATTTGGTGAGCATAGCATTTTCACAAAGCACATCCAAGTTATGGATCATTGTTGTAGAGGCAAAACACAAATAAAACATTATGAAGGAATGTCCCCTGCTTACTGCTTACCTCATTATTTAAAAAAAAAAAATTCCAGATAGAAAAATCATCGGATCTGACAATAGAGCATTTGTATCTTTAAATCTCAGTATAAACTCTCTTCTTTCAGAACATTTGATACAAGGAACCCACAGGATATTAAAAAAACAAAACAAAACAAAACCACTGATCTAAATCACTCCGGAGACTAAGAGGGGTGTGGAGCCTCTGGGGTGGAGCGCCGTCTGGCCCTGTTTCCCTTTCTCTCTATCCACATTCCAGTCCAGCCACTCACAGAAACAGAAGAGAAGCCGAGGAGAAGGGGGTTGAGCGGGTAAGCCAGCTGTCTCAGGATTTCAGGGCCGAGTACAGCTTTTCGGCATATTCCTCAGTTTACCCACTTTTTCTATATTCTTCAGTTTACCTGCCTTTCCCATGAGCTACCACCATATACATACTTATCTAGAATTTATGTTCTCTTGAAAAGAAATTTTAAGGAGACATTTTCATCTTAAAATATTTCTGATAGAAAAGCATCACAAAATCATAAAACAGGAACGGACCTTAACCAGCCCAGATAAATGAATTCAGATTTTTAGTTTTGCTAGCACTGAAATCTACTCTAGGTTCAGAAATTTGGGGATTCAGACCTCACAACAGAGAAGAAAAGTGTTTATTTCTGGATTTTTATCTTCGGCTCCAGAACTCACATGGTATAAGAAATTATATCATGCCCCAGTGCACACAGAAAACTGAAACAAATGGAAAAATAATACTTTCTCAACAGACTCACATGTACTCTATTTTTATTTTAGTCTATCCTAATTCTTTAAAAAAGGCCAGTTGAGCCCTGGCCCGTTTGGCTCAGTGGTTGGAATGTGAGACCATGGACCAAAGAGTGGAGGGTTCGATTCCGGTCAAGGGCATGTACCTCAGTTGAGATTTGGTGCCCAGCCCTGGCTGGGGTCGTGTGGGAGGCAACCAGTCAGTGTGTCCCTTTCACAGTGATGTTTCTCTCTCTCTTTTTCTCTCTCCTTCCCCCTCCCACTCTGAAGATAAATGGAAAAATATCCTCCAGTGAGGATTAAAAAAAAAAAAAGCCACTTTGTGGCCCACTAATTTGATTTTATACCCGTTAATGGATTACATACTGCTGTGCTCACAAGGACTGGGAATAGTAAGAGATACATTATAACTATGTTGAATGTCTGGAGGCAGAGTGGAGCTGTTGATTGGAGTTTCTTTCACTAGCAGAAGGAAGTGGTCCTTTAGAAGCCAAAACTTTTGTTTCTGCCCAGTTGTGCCACAACTTTGCTGCTGTACTGAGATGACTTTTCCTTCTGTCTTTGCACTTTAGCTTCTCCACCGTTACATGGATAAGAAAAGGTTTCTGTTAGGATTAGTGGGCATTTTTTGAGCGAGATAAGAGATGTACAGAGAACAGGAGAAGCAAGAGATGGGCATAGAGGAGGTCTTGGGAAAGGTATTTCAGTAGATTAAAATATAAGATAAGAAGGTTTTATGAATGGGATAATAGGATTGTAGGAACTGGTGAATTAGATCCTGTCTCCCACACCTTGGCAATGCATCTCTGTTGTATTACCGACTCTTTAACTCCAGCCATTCATTTACATTACCCTGATGAGAACTTCAAGAGAGCCCAGATCAAAGGTTCACCTACCTTCTCCTTGACCACTGACCCCTACAGGTGTCCAGTCTGTACCAAAGGAAGGAGAAAAGGACTGTGAGTAACTCTGGCTCTATACCCCAGAAACCTTTTATAAAATGAACCAGAAAATGGCAGGGATATAGTTGTACTTTATCTTTCTGTGTTTTCTTTTTCTGTGGTTCGATACAAAATGACTCAGATCATTGATGCTACACACAAACGTGGAAACACTCGAGCAACACAACAAATTCCTGGGCACAAACCCTACTCTGCGATGCCCTGTGGCCCTCATTCCCAACCAGAAGGAAAGGAGTTCGGTTCCAAGAGAGAGGCAGCAGCCGTTCTAATGTGGCCTGTATCCTTCTACCCCGACAGCTATCCCACTGGCCACACGACTGAACAAGCAAAGCAATTATTTTTCTAACAGTCTGGATCTAGCAGAATGAGGAAAATAAATAGAGTTTTTCTTTTGAAATCCATGGTTTATTTTCTATAACCAATCTTCTAGCTAGCTTCTGTGAAATCTGTGAAGATCATTTTTCTTTTGTGTATAGATTTGGCCCATATTTCTGGTGAGCAAGTGAATATATTTGTGTGTATGCTGTTACTGGTGTGAGTTATGTGTGACTGTTTTTCTGCAGGGTTTAAATGTGGTCTAGTTGCTTATTAGGTGGTCTCTACATGTTTGTGTATGCATTTGCATATCAGCTTCGTTCTCCTATGGTATTTGCTTACTTGTGTGTTTATGTGTGTGACCCTCTTTTGATTTACATGCATTTGTTTGTATCTTCATTTCTTCTTAGTTTCATAACTCACAGGATACCTTTTCCTAAGTCTGAGGTCATCTCTTTCCACATCTCTGCCCTTTTTTCTTTAACACAAAATCTTTCCCTTTCATAGCAATTCTAGAACCCAAGAGCAAATCTCTCTCCCAATTCCCCTTCAAGTTCCTTCCACTCTCGGACACACACCTCCAGGCACATGTATAGCTGAGGAGCTAGCATTTTAGAGGGAAAGAATAAAAACAGGGACTCACCGGAGGAAATGATGAGTACAGTGAGAAACAGCAGCACCTTGGGTCCCGAGAGCAGCATATCTAACGAGGACGATGGGGAGAGCAGAGGTTGCGATGCTCAGGGACACGTGAGCATTTCAGTTCCAGGAAAGGATGTTTGTGGCCCCTGTTTCATTGTCTTCCCAGGAGCTTTCCTGGTCCTTTGTAGGACTCAAACCCTTTCTCTCTTCTTATCTTTCACTTGACATTTATTTCTCAATTTCAAGTCTAGTCTTTGATCACTTACCATTATTCTCACTCTCATTATTCTTTTCTACGAAGTCAGAGGAAATTTCATATTCTAAATGGCCCATGTTTGCCTCTGCCTGGTGGTCCCTTTCACCCCTAGGGTCTGATCATCTTCTCTTGATATCCGTGGCTTGTTTATATCATCTTCTCATCTTGATGTCTCCTTTCATTTGGATTTTGTGGATAATTGGGATGTCTGCTCAATTTCAAATTCAGTGACATTCCCGATTGCCCTCGTCCAGCCCTTCAATGTATACACACATACACGCATGTATGCACACACACACACACACACACACACGCTCTCTCTCCCTCTGTTTATTTAGGGTTTTATACAAGCAAACAACTCACTGTCTATGGTCCTCTGCTCTTTCCACCGAGTCCTTTGGCTGCTGACTGTGTCTCCTTCTCACGCTATTCCTGCTTTGGCTGGAGAATAAGATGAACAGGGCCACTCCCTGGGAAGGACTTCAGATTTGGCCTCCTGAAACAATGAGATGAGGGAGAGCAAGAGAGAGAGAGCAAGAGAGAGTGAGAGAGAGAGCCAGGCTAAAGGAGTGCAACGGGGCTGAAATGAGAAGGGGGATGGGGATCTGCAACCCCTCACACCCTCATTCCAAAGGTTATGACCACATTGGTGAGACACTGCTGCTCCCTGGAAGGGTTGGCCCCAGCTCATGTATGCCTTTCTTCCATGAGCCTGTTTTCCCTGTCGCAATCTAACCCCAGCACCCCCCACCCCCTTCCCTGGGGTTCCTTCTTACCTAATTAATTCTGTCTCATCCTTGGAATATTTTAGTGCACATCACCAGACTCTGTTCCTATCTCTGACTTCCATGTTTGCATCATTTTTACATCTTCCTTTCTCACTTTTGTTCTTTTGGGACATTCATCTCTTCAACATCAACAAATTCCTTTGTATCCCTGTGCTTATCTTCTCTCTTTGCCTCCTTTTGACCCACACGTTCAGACTCTTGTTGTTGTTGTTTTCTTCCCCCCAGAAATCCCATGTATTCCCATATCCAAGCAAAAACAGAAACCATGTAAATTTTGTCCAAGAGGAGGGCTGGCTGTCTTAGGGCTTGAACACGTTGAGGAACACAGTCCCTTCTAACCCGTTTTGAAATGTGGAGGCGCTCGGTGAGAGGAGATGCCAGCTGTGTTCCGTCTTTTGGCTGTGTTTAAGTTTATACTAAGAATCTTGGTTTCTGAAATATGAAAGACAAAATGCCATCAGAAGCCCAAAGAAAACTGAGAGCCAAGTTTATGTTTATTCTGCTTGACTAACTTTCCACCAGCACTTCGCCTCCAATCATGTAATACGTTGATAACACTTTCTCAGATCCAGGAGTTTTAAAGGCTTTGTATTTGCTCTTATTCATAGAAACCCGAGTGGTTAGACCATTAAAATATCTCCACTTTGGAGAGAATTAACTTGAATGATAGAAACTCAAATGTGAGGAGTATTTGACCTTAGGTGCACTAGAAATGCAGAAGTCAAAGCATTTGTTAGCTCCTGTAGTCTACATTGTGTGTCTCCCTGCTGGAATAACTTAGGGAAGAATACAGGTGGACATGAAGCAGATAGTATTAATAAATTACAGACTAGAAGAAAGGAGGGTACATGATGAAGGAAGGAAGGGAGGCAGGAGGAAAAAAGAAAGCTAACTAGCTGTCTAGTTAGAAGGAAGGGAGAGCAATGGACATAATAAGAAAGAAGTGAGTAGCACCTCTGGTTCTTTTGAGGAAACTACAAGTGTTCCACTTTTGAGATACATGGATTCTGCTGAGTCCCTAGAACAAATCTGTGTACAAACTCAGCTCTTTCCTGAACTGCTTGGCCCAGAACTTGTTCTTCTTCCATCTGCTCTGCATTGAGGGTGCAGAGGCTGGAAAACAGATGTGATTCTAGTCTGAGGAGAGTCAGGGGGGAAAAAGACAGGGGGTGGGGATCAGGGGAAAACAAAAAAGCAGATGCAAAGCAGACGTAAGGCAGGACATATAATAAAGAGCCTAGAGCAACAGTCATGTTTTCCATGAGGCCCAGACAGATGGAGAAACTGAACGAAGGCCAATCATTTGGCAGGGAGAGCAATGACCTCAATGTGCTGGCCTAGCTGGAGACTAGTGCAGGAAAGCCTCCCCAGGCACTAGGAGGGGGCGCTCTCCTGGGGTCCTGGGAGGGAGGCTGAAGTTAGGGCAGTAAAAATGGAACAGAATGTTTAGAGCAAGGCAGGGAAAAGGCAGGCGGGAAGAAAAGGAGAGGAGGCACGGCAAGACCTGGTGGAAGGGCAGAAACCACCATCTATTCTTAGACTTCATCGACATGCAGGAATGCAGTTTGTTTTAAAGTAGTTTGGTTCATTTTTTTTCCTTCATGGCAACTAGGGCAGCTGCCTGTTTGTTTTAGAGCCCAAGGTAAGTCTGTCAGCCTCTGTTCTATTATATTATCAGTTTATCATTGAATCCCATGGAGTTGAAATCTGCATCAATGGTGCAAAATAAGTAACTGTCATCCACAGATGTGAGCCTGTAACTCTCCAAGGTTCTCCCTGACACTGGGAAAGAGCTCCCTGGGCAGCAGAATTCCCATCAGACACAGGCTGGATCTCTTATGGGTAGAGAACATACTCGGGCAACAGGAAAGTCCTCCATGGAAATGACTGGCAGGAACAGAAGTGACTTGATGAAGGCAACCTAATGTTGAGTTACCTAGGAGCATTTTAGTTTTCAAAAAGGGCCTCCAAGCAATGGAAGATGGGCAGAGTGCAAAGGAAGAGAAGGGGGTAGAGATACAAGACAGCACACTGGATTTATTCTTCTGTTTATTGGCCTGTAAAGAATACACCCATTAGCTGAAGGCCTCTGGGCAAATGTACAGAAACATTATTACTCTAGTCCAATCCAACTAAATTAAACCCAGGGCCTAAACACACACACAAATTTTCCATAAAAGGAAGGGAAGGAAGGGAGGAGGGTTATATGAGGTGGGGGAGGGGGAGGAGGAAGAGAGAGCAGCGTGTGTAGAGGAATGAAGCAACAAAGTAGAGACAGCCAAACCTAAAAGATGGACTCAGTGCAGGACTTAGGAGGCAGCCAAATATGTCCTCAGAAAACTTGGGTAGGGAGAGCTTCCCACTTCTCAGTATCCCATACCTGCTATAGCACACTGTTCTGCATGCCTCTGTACATTACACTTTCTGTTCCTTTCTTTCTGTGACATCCTTTCCCCAACTCTGGTAACTAGATGTGTATATGTACATAAAAACCCAGCTTAGTGCCCTGGTCGGTTTGGCTCAGCGGTTGGAGCGTCAGCCTGCGGTACAGAGAGACCCGGGTTCGGTTTCCGCTAAGGGCATGTACCTCGGTTGCAGTTTGTCCCCGGCCCTGGTTGGTTGTGAGGGCGGCGGCCACTTGATGTGTCCCTTTCACCTCGATGTTTCTCTCTCTCTCTCCTTCCCACTCTATCTGAACAAAAAATGGAAAAATGTCCTCGGGTGAGGATAAAAACAAACAAACAAAAAAAACCCCAGCTTAGTGCTGCCTCTCTCCAGAAACCTTTCCTGGTCCCCTTTGCTTCTGAAGAATTAACCATCCCCTGTACTGAGCAACCCGTTTTTATAAGTATGTCATCAACTGTATTCTACTCGTTCTTTTACATTTTTTTTTTTTTTTTTGGTACGTGCCCCTAGCGGGAACCGAACCCGGGACTCTCTGGTCCTCAGGCCAACACTCCAACCGGTGAGCCAAACCCACCAGGGCCTTTTACATATTTGTATCTCGGATTAGACTGAGAGTTCCTTGATAGCAGAGGCTCAGTTTTACTCATCTCTGGCTGACATAATGATCAGCACATAACAACTCAACATTTCGATATTTGAATTGAGTTGAGATGGAGACTTGAAATAGCAACTTCCTATTTCAAGATAGAAACATTCAAAAACTGACTCAGATGCAAAGAGGTAGAGGATAACGTTCTAAAGAAGAGTCGTTTGAGAATTCAGCAAGGGCAACAACCAGCCAATGCAATGAAGTGATAGGAGGGGAACAGAACGAAAGGAATGAGGCAGAGGAAGTGAGCAACCGTTATTTCAGAAACAAAGGGATTAAGCACAAAGACTAAATTAAAATCAGTGCATGTAAAACATATGTGACTTAAGTCTACAATAATCGGTGCTTTGTCTCAGTCTGCTTTGTGTCAATTTCCTGATGGCGCTGGTGGTGTTGCAGTTACACCCACACACCCTTGACCATGCGAATTGAAATGCTTGGTCCAAGTTCAGGATTCTGTCAAGGTTCCCGAAAGAGAACCCACGCAAAAAAAATTGAATAAATGATAAAACTGGCTACACTCAAACAAAAGAGGACAAATACTAGAAATTCATTAATAGACAGGAACTCTCCATCTTCCTTTTCTACCCACAAACATACAAAAACAGAGAAATCCTGTAATTTGAAAATATGGAAAAAACTCAGGAAAGTTTATATTTACATAATTATTAGCAAATGTGTATGATTGTTTAAAAATAATAATAGTTAATATAAATTAATCAATTTGGTACATTTATGTGATATATATATATATATATATATATTTTTTTTCCCTCACCTGAGGACATTTTTCCATTTTTTGTTCAGACAGAGTGGGAAGGAGAGAGAGGAAGAGAGAGAGAGAAACACTGACATGAAAGGGACACATCGAATGGCTGCCACCCGCACTACCAACCAGGGCTGAAAACAGACCGCAACTGAGGCATGTGCCCTTAGTGGAAACTGAACCCAGGTCTCTCTGGACCGCAGGCCAAAGCTCTAACCGCTGAGCCAAACTAGCCAGGGCTATTTTTAAAATATTAATTCACTTTTCTTGAGTCATCAGGCTCTTGTGACTTTATTTTTTTTTCTTTATTGGTTTTAGAGAGAGAGAAAGGGAGAGGAAAAGATAGAGACATTGATGAGAGAGAACATCGATTGGCCGCCTCCTGCATGACCCCACTGGGGATCAGGCTCACAACCCGGGCATGTACCCTGACCAGGAATCAAACCAGCAACCTTTTGGTGCATGGGTCGACACTCAACCACTGAGTCACGCTGGTCGGGCTATATTTATATTTTTTATAGATTATATGTGCTGGGCAGCCTGAAAAATGGCCCCCAGTGATCCCTACCTCCTATTCTTTACTGCCTTATGCAATTCTTACCGCTGAGTGCAGGATGAATTTCCGGATGACTAGCAAAAGAATGCAGCAGAGACAATGGGGTCTATTTTCCCATAACAGAGACCCTGGATTCTAGTTCTGGGTTTCTCTCCTGATTTCTTGCCTGTTTGCTCTGAACAAAGCCAACTGCCACAATGTGGGCTACTCTATAGAAATGCCCTGTGATAAGAAGAGCATCTCTAGCCAACAGCCAGCAGCCTAAGGCCTGTCAACAGCCACGTGAATGAACTTGTAAGTGTGGATACTCTGTTGGGTCTTTTTTTTTTTTTTTTTTTTTTTTTTTTCAAATCTTTATTTTTGGATGTAAA